AACACACAAAGTGTGGAGAACAACATAATGTTTTCATTCATCAGCTGCCCGAGCCATCCCATAATACCGGTTCCTGCCTTGTTTGGCCGCTTCCTCGGAGGTGACCTCCGTGTGCGACAATCGACACCGTGTCCCCCAGAAGGACTGGAGCAGGGGTCCCCACCCCCCGGGCCGAGGACCCAGGCCCAGTCTGTGGGCTGTTAGGGGCCGGCCGCACAGCAGGAGGGCAGCGGCGGGAAGGCGAGGGAAGCTCTGCTCCATTAGGGCCTGAGCGCCACCTGCAGTCCCCCGCCGCACCCCCGTCCGTCCGCGGAAAACTGCCTACCCTGGAGCCGGTCCCTGCTGCCGGCAAGGCCGGGCCGGCCGCTGGAGGCCTTTCCTCCGGCAGAGTTGACTGGGATCTGCTTTCCTTCAGCCGCGGGGACCGCCCGCACTGCTCAGGGCACACGGGAAGCTTCCTGCGCTCAGAGCAGCAGGACATGGTATCAAGTCCAACACACAAGGTTCGTGTTTCAAAGTAACTTCGAATCCTGTGCCGTGTGCGGTCGGCAGCACTTTCTCGGGCTGGCGGGGCCCCGGCGGGGGCCCCGGCTCTGCCCCCGCCGGGCCCCTCCCTGCCGCAGGGCCGCACCCATCCCCCAGGGGGCCTGCACCTGCACCGTCAGCTCTGCGCCAGAGGCACGCTTTGTGCCTGATCTTCACGCGTGAAGGTGACCGAGTGAGGACACGGAAGTCACTGCCACCGAGTGACAAGTTCAGTGACAGGTTCCTCTGCGGGGAGCCCCTGCCAGGCCCAGGGCAGTCGTGTGTTCTCGGGAGAGGCTGGGAGGGCGAGGACCGGGGCGTCCCAGCACCGCCCCGGGAAGGCGACCCGAGTGTGGCCGGTGAGCCGGTCAGGTTTGCAACGAGGAAGCCAAACGGTCCCCCCTCACAGGCGACAGCGCCGGGGGACGGCCCGGCGGCGCTGCAGACCCCCTTTGCGGGAACAGGCAGGCAGTTTGGCAGAGCTGTGGGACGCGCGCTCCGTGGGCCGCTCGGCTGTCGCTGCACACGTCAGCACCTGTGTGGGGGAGTGGAGTGTCACTCACGCTGCAGGAGCGAGGCCCGGCCTCACCCTGAGGGGCCGGGAAGCACTGCCAGCAGGCCAGGAGACGCCACCGAAGGCTGGGCCCCTGCTCTGGACGTGGGGAAACAGTTCTCCAGCAAGACGCAAAAAGCACCACCCCCTCACGGGAGAGCCTGACCATGCCGTGCACACTAAGCGGTCTCTGCACCAGCGACACTGGTCAGAGTGAACCCAGCCGCGGGACAGTGACGGGGGCAGCCCAGGGAGCTGGCAGAGCCACGGTGTCTGGAGCGGTGAGGACAGGACGATGGGCCACAGCCTGGTCAGAACAGTGGGTCAGAGAGCTTGACCGGGAACCTCATGGAGGAGGAACCAACCCCGAGTGGCTGACGGGACAGGCTGGGCTCAGCGTGCGGCAGTCAGGGGCCCACAGTCGGCCCACGGGAGGTGCCGCCCCAGGATCTGGGCAGCCGCCTCGCCCTGGCCCACGGCACAGCGTGGCCATGAGCCCCGCGGGAGGACAGCACGGACATCCACGCCAGGGGGAGAAATGTGGACTGCGGGGCCAGCGGGTCTGCTCCCAGGTCAACACCCCAAAGAGACGGGGCCTGGGCTGCTGACCACGGCCACCGTCCTCGGCCCACAGCAGTGTGACCCTGCGGGCGCTGAAGCTGCGAAGGACCCCACCCCCACCCCGGACCTGGCCCCACAAGGTCTGTGTGAGCCGGTCCTCCGCAGCGACTCCCGGAGCCGGCTGGCGGCATCTCACGTGGGGCGGGAAGGCCCCGCCTGAGTCCACACAGAGGCTGTCACGGTCTGGGTGTGGGGACCCTTGGCAGCGGTGGCCCCACACGGGCCTGGCGGCGGGAGTGGGGGCGCTTGGATGACACAGCGCAGCACCCCATCCCCACAGCCTGCTCCTGACATCCTCACTAAACCATCTGTTTCCTTTTTTTGAAGATAATCTTCTGAGGTCTCAGAAGAACTTGAAAATGGCCATAACGAGACCCCCACAGTGAGGCTCTCCCCGCGCTCTGGGGACCACGTGCCCGAGCGGGGACGACACCCCAGGTCAGAGCACAGTGCCCCGGGGCAGCGCCGCCAGCCCCGCAGCCCTCCGGGGCCCGGCTCCTCAGACACAGGGCCCCTGCCCTGCGCCCCTCGCCCGTGGCTCCGAGCCCACGGGGACGCAGCCACGCACGCCGACCGTGGTCGGAGGTTCCAGACCGGAGCGTCCCAGCCGCCTGCAGGCTGTCCCCAGGGCAGACGCCGGGCTGCAGGCCCACGCCCCGACCCGGGTCTGCGGCAGGGACCCAGCAGCTGTGATGAGGCCCCACCTGGTGCTGGCGACAGTGCCAGTCACGGACCTGCTGTGACGACCTCCGCCAAGGAAAAACGTAACATTTAAAGTTAAAATTAAAAATAAGACAAAGGCAGTCTACCTATCCAATCTGATTAAGTACAAGCTCACCAGATCTCCCCGCGAAGATGGAACCCAGGGCACCTGTTTGCTCACCTGGGAGGGGCCCCTTGCAGGACCTGGAGCAGAGCAACGCTCAGGCTGGGTCCACCCTGGAGGATTGGGCCCATAAACGTCTACCAGACACTCCTTTCCTCCACACTCCCGGGTACCACCCCCTTTACCAATGCACAAACTGCAGGAAATAGGCACTTCCGAGAAATCAGAATTACCCCGGAGAGGGAGGGGCCCGGAGCTCTGTCCCTGCACATAAAACCACCCTGCTCTGGGCTCTGCTTCAGGAGGCTTCTACCTATTTCACTTGAGACCTCACCGGCTCCCCAGTTCCAGAGATGATCAAGGGGGAACAGGAGATGGCGAACTGGGGGACTCCCCAGGGCCCAGGACCCGTGGTGTCCACCGTGGTCAACATCCAGACTGAGACCGCCGTGCCCGACCACATCGTCTGGTCCCTGTTCAACACGATCTACTTCAACGTCTGCTGCCTGGGCTTCGTGGCGTTAGCCTACTCTGTGAAGGTGGGTGGGTGCGTGTGGGCCCCCAGGGGTCCTGCTGCCCACAGGAGGGTGGACCCATAGCAGGAGCAGTTTTCTGAGTGTGAGTCAGGTGGGGGCTCCTTCTCCGTGATAGTGTGAGGGGGCTACACGCACACGCCTGCCTTTGGGAGGGTCTGCACCGTGCCCAGGGCCTCTCCTTTCCATCCCAGTTGGAGAAATCAGGTCCTTCACACAGCAGACCCAGACCTCATGTCCGGTCCAGAAACAGAAAACAGTCCTCATTGGGCAGGGGGAGGGCTCTGGGCGGGGACCAGCAGGGCAGGACCTGGGTCAGAGCCGCTGGCTCTCCCCAGCTCCGCTCCAGGCCCCTCTGACCGTCTCTCCTCCCCCAGTCCAGGGACCGGAAGATGGTGGGCGACGTGATGGGGGCCCGGAGCTACGCGTCCACCGCCAAGTCCCTGAACATCGCGGCCCTGGTCCTGGGCCTCATTGTGGTCGTAGTGGGCATTGTTGTTTTGGTGTTGCAGGCAGTCACCTTGGCAGCAATGCTGGCCAGGCAGAACCACAGAGGCCACTCCTAGGTGCTGCCCTTGGCCGGGGGACCACGTCCTCCCCACCCCTCCCGGCCTTGCCCCCGCCGCCCACCCCTCCACACAGCGCTGTGCACGGATGTAGCTGTCCCCACTGAACCCAATAAAGTGCCCTTGGATGTGATGATGCCGACGTTTCCTGGGCCGCTGCCCCTGCTGAGTGCCCAGCCTGCCCCTGAGACTGAGCCCACCACCCACACCCTGGCCCACCTGCTTGCTGCTCTGAGGGGGGCCCAGCTCTTTCTCAGATGTTCCTGGTTTCTGGTCTCCGGCTGGGAGCAGCAGCTGGGACAGGGCCCTAGGGAGGGGCTTGGTCCTTCCCAGTATCTGAGCCCTGATCTGAGGGGGGCTGGGTCCAGTTCACCCTGGGCCCTGAGGACAAGCCTCCCTGACCCCGGGCTGGCCGGGAGCAGGGGTGAGTGCTGCAGACTGGTGCCCTGGGAGGCCATGGTGTTTGCAGGTCCGGTGCAGGGTGGAGCCCGGCCCCATAGCCCCCTCCTGGGTGGTCCCGCCATGGCTGTGCTTCCCCCAGCCCACCAGCTCTGTCCTTGCTCCCCCTCAGGGGACAGCAGCAGTGGTGTGCTGGCACCAGGGAGGGACGGAGCAGGCAGCCCTGAGGGACAGAAACCCTGAGAGGAAGGACCAAATCCTCCCACCAAACAGGCTGGGCCTGCTGGCTGGAGCCTCTGCCAGTGTCCCAGAAGGGCCCCGCAGCCTTTGGGGACCCCCAGGCGTGGGCTGGGAGCTTTTTCCAGGGCCACTGATGCACATGGGGCCTGGGGCTGTCCTCAGCTTGACCCATTCCCTGCCGGCAGACCCTGCAGCCACCACGGAGAGGCTGGGGAAGTCGGGGGGCCACAGGCTGGTGTTGGGGGATGAACCCGTCTCCCCGTGAGCCTTGCCCTTTGGGGACCTGGGTTCACTGGGGCTCCAGCTGTGGGGTGAGGTCAGTCCTGCTAGCTGTGGTCTGGGGGCAGCATCTCTTCCCCCTGTGGTCTTGTTGGGTCCTGCCGCACGCACACTAGGAAGATCCTGACCCTGGTCCCCTTCCCCACACCCTGTTCCAGCCCGTGTGGAGCCCTGAGTCTGGGGCCTAAAGAGGGCTGTGCGTGTCTGCAATAGGCCTTGCCTATCAGGAGGGCGCCCCTGTCCCCAGGGGTCCCACGAATGAGCAGGAGGGGGGTCAGGCCCAGGGAAGGACAAGGGAGGGGCGCCCTCACGTGGCTGCGACCCCGCTCCCCCCCCCCCCGACCCCCGGGTTGGTAGTACGTCTTCTGCGGGGCACCGGTCGGGACGTGCACTCAGCACTGCAGCAGCCCGCATCTGAGCGGCTGCGACTTGGGACAAAGACGCCGCTAGGCCGGAGACCTTCTGCCGCGGCCCGCAGACCAGCCGCGCTCTGGAGCTTTGGGAAAATTGCGCGGGCGCCTGAGGCTTCACGCAGGCGCAGTGCAGGCCCGTCCGAAGGGGCTGAGTGCGGTCCGTTGGGCTCCCCACGGCTCAGCCCACAGCCCCGAGTCCTGGGAGCCGCCCCAGCATCTCCGCCTGGAATGTGGGTGGACGAGGGTCACCTTCACCCAGGTGGGCGTTTCCAGGATGGTAGGCGGGGTGGTCTCCAGCCTGGGTTCAGAGGGCTGTGGGACCCGACGGTGGGCCAGAAGGGGCGGGGCCTAGCCTGCGGGCGAACAGAAAGGGGCGGTGCACGCGTGTGGGCGGGGCCAGACCTAGGCGGAGGGATTCACAAGTGTCCCTGCGGCGCTCTCCTCTCCTCTCCTCTCCTCTCCTGTCGGGCGAGCCCCTCCCACGTCTATGCCAGTGTTTTCGGGACACAGAGAGGCTGGTCTGCCAGCGTCCCCTGTGCAGGACCATCTTCCCTGACCTGACCCCTGTCCTGCTCAGACGTGGGGCCGCGGGGGACAGCCTGAGATCCTATGGCTTATCCTCAGGTCCCCAGCCGGCCCGGCCCCGGAGCGTTAGTGCGCTGCTGTTGCGGGCAGAAAGGAGGTGGGGGTGAGGGTGTGCAGCGTCCACAGCTGGGGCCCTGGGCACAGGGAGGAAGTGGCAGTCCGGGCGGGCCCAGCTCCCAACCCTGCTGTCCCGCTGGTATCCGCTGGGTCTGCCCTGGCCATCCCTTAGTGCCCGACATCTGGAAGCCTTGAGAGACCCAGGTTCGGAGCTGACTTCCAGCTCAGGGAGCTTATGTCCAGGTTGGGGCTGGGTTTCTCTTCCACCTGAAGAGCAGGGAAATGCAGGGCTGTCTTGCCAGGTGACCTGTGGACTCCCGGAGTCACGCCCCCTGCTGCCTTCTGGGGCTGATGGGGGTGTTCAGGGCTGAGGGTGCTCTGAAGCAGGGCCTCTGTGCCTCAGATGCTCCCACTGGGTCAGGGCTCAGACCTCTGGGAAGGAGGGACCCCACCCCTAAGTTTTCCCTTTTGTTGCCCCAGCTGGAGCCCAGGTGCAGGTAAGGCCTGAGGACAAGCGCCACCCCACTGCCAGGGCAGCAAGCAGGTGGGACCGGGTGTGGGGTGGGCTCAGGCTTAGGACAGGCTGGGGCTCTCACGGGACCCCTCCCCAGGTGAGACCACAACATTGTCAGGTGCATGTCCTTTATTGCATTCGGTCGGGGACACACGTGGGTATGAACAGCTGTGAAGAGGTGACAGCCTCAGGCTATGGGCAGCCACCAGAAGCCTCCTCACTCTTCGTGACGTTGTAACAACTGTGTTGAGTAGTTACAGCCGGGTAGTTGCCTTAATTATAATGAAAATGATGAACAGAATGAGACCACAGACCAGGGCCGCAATGTTCAGTTTCTTGGCGGTGGACGCATACTCCTGGGCCCCAACCATGTCACGCACCCTCTTCCGGTCCCTGGACTGGGGGAGAAGAGACAGTCAGGGGGGCCTGGAGTGGAGCTGGGGAGAGCCAGCGGCTCTGACTCAGGTCCTGCCCTGCTGGTCCCCGCCCAGAGCCCTCCCCCTGCCCTTCAGGCAGATCAGGACCCCCCTCTGCCTGTTCCCTGGAGCCCGAGCAGGTCCGAGCCAGGGGTTCCCTCCCTCAGAGCCCCTCAGCCTCTCCAGGTTTTCCGGGGCACCTCCTCCCCCTGCCCTGGCCCCTCTGCTGGCCTCACCCCACCAGGGGTCAGGGCGTCGGAGCCCCTTTATTCTTACTGAGAGAGCTAATTTCTGGCATGGTCAGTAGGGAATTACTTGGAGTCCTGGGGACCAGGGCTGACCCTGCCACCCCCATGTCCCCGGCACAGACTCACTGTGACTTGTACTCGCCCATGTGCACACACCCAAGGGCTCCCCATCCCAGAGCCCTGTGGGCAGGGGGACCCCTGGGGGCCCACACACACCCACCCACCTTTATGGAGTAGGAGAACGCCACCAAGCCCAGGCAGAAGACGTTGAAGTAGATGGAGCTGAGCAGGGACCACACGATGTGGTCGGGCACAGCGGGCTCTGTCTGGATGTTGACCACGGTGGACACCACGGGTCCTGGGCCCTGGGGCGCCCCTGTGATGACCACCTCGTGTTCCTCCTTGATCATCTCTGGCTTTGGGGAGCAGGTGTGGTCTCAAGGGAAGAAGATGGAAGCTTCCTGAAGCTGAGGCCTGAGCAGCGTGGTTTTAGGTGCTGGGGCAGTGCTTGGGGCCCCTCCCTCTTTGGGGTAGTTCAGATTTTTCGGAAGTGTCTATTTCCTAAGGTTTTCAAAATTGTTGATTTCACTGGGTGCGAGAAGGCGGAAAAACCCACGAGTGTCAGCTGACAGGAGAACAGAGTGCAGGGCAGCCTGCAGGGTAACGGCTGCTTCCTGCCCCTTCACTCAGGACGGCTCTTGTGGCTCATTCGGGGCTGCAGTGGGTCCTGGGGCTTTCTCCTGCCCGGAGGCCCCCTCCCGGCCCCCTCCCCAGCCCTTGTGCAGGCCTCACTGTCCCCATGCAGGGCCCCTGCACGTGGTCACACAGACCCCCTCCAGCCCAGGGCCAGCCCAGCCCCCACAGCCCACCCCTCCTCCACTGTCACATGCCCCTCTCTGACGTCCAGGCTCCAGGTGGAGTTGGGTGCCTCGTGGGTGCAGCCCAGGAACCAGCCCCTGTGGCCTGTCCCCCCAGGGGGTCAGCAGGGTCCCCGTGACCGAGGACACGTGGGGACACGAGGAGGCAGCTGGGGTGGGACGGGGCATTTGGCGGTGGCCTGGAAGTGCAGGGCGGCAGGCTGTGCAAGCCCCTGTCTGCTGCGCCCTGCTGCCCCTCAGTGGAGCCCAGGTGCGGGGGGTGGTCACAGGACCAGCTGGAGGGGGCAGGACGAGTCTCGACTCTGGCCAGGACCCCTTCTCCAGGAGAGGACGGTGCCTCGTGGGAGCCGGATGCTGCTCCGTGGGGATGGGAGGGTGGAGTTGTGCTGGTCGCGGTCCGCAGGTCTCTCCTGCGTGGAGGAGGGTGCGGGGTGCTGGTGGCCCAGGCCTGGATTGCCCCCGGGGACCCTGGCCCTCACCCTGCAGCCCAGCTGGGTCAAGGCTCCAGACCCGCACCCCGGCACCCCAGGGCTCCCTGGGGGCCCAGATCCTGGAGTCTCCAGCGCCCGGCCCTCCTGCAGCTTCCGGGCTGTGGTCCCGCGAGCATCTGCCCTGTGTCCCCTCACAGGTGTCAGCTGCCGCCCGTCCCCAGGTGACGCCGTCCTGTGGCAGGAGCCGGCGTGGCTCTGAGTTCCCCTGGACCGGCCGAGCAGAGGCTGCCCTGACTGTGGGAGCCTCGGGCACTGGCAGCCCTGGGCATGGAGAGTGGGCCCGGCCCTGGTGGGCCTGGTCTGGGGAGACCTCCCGGGGCCTGGGACAGAGCTGTCAGCGTCCTGCTGGGCCGCAGGCGCCATCCTGCCTGGCCCTGGTCGGTCATCGCGTGCTTCTGTCTGCATCTCGGTTAGGTTCTGCACTCTCACACGTGTGGAACCGTGTGGTGCTTTATGACCGGCTTGTGCCGTGTGGAAGGACGTTTTCAGGCCCACGCTGGGGGCCTGTATCAGTGCTTCTTTCCTTTTCGTGGCCCATAACCGCCCGTCACGTGGGATGTCAGTCTTTTCATCAGTGGCATCTTCGGGGACGTCTGAGCTGTTTCCGCCGTTCGTCTGCCCCCCCCCCCGTGTGGCTCGCCCGTGAGCACAGTTTCACGTGAGCAGGTGTCACTACTCGAGGGGTGGATTCCGGGCCTCCTGGGTGTCTGTGTTCAATCTTTCCAGAACTGCTACACAGTTTTCCTCGGCGCTGACCCAGCTCCTCAGCCCTGGCCCTTGGGCCCATTCAGGAGCCCCATGGGTGTGGCCAGGCTGTGGGGAGAGGGGCCCACCGCCCGGGGTTAGGCCCCACTTCCTCTCAAACCTGCCCTGGCCTTGGCTGTTCCCTTTCCACAGAGGTGACCCAGGACAGCTCAGGGGCCGCAGGGGCTGTTTCCCTCTCCGCCGCTGGCTGTGCTCTTTGGTGAGGCCAGGCCTTTGCTAAGAACAGCAAAGCACCTTTGGGTTCTTCCATTTCTTTCCCCGCCGGGTGGCCGCGCTGCGAGAGCCTGCTGGGCTCTTGGAGATAAAACTGGCGGACAGAAGTGTGGGGCGCCCTCAAGCGGGGCCCCAGCAGCTCCAGACCCTGGAGTCAGCCTCCACCCCTTGTCCCGCACAGAGCCTGTGCAGTGGGCCCCGCCCCCCCGACCGTGGCTCCGCCCCTTCTGGGTTTGTAGTTGGCGTCCTCTCGACCTCACTTCTCTGACGGAGCTCACGGGAGGGGGTGGCGCTCGGCATCTCCATCTTTTTTCTTGTTGTAAGGATGGGAGTCGCAACTTCCAGCAACTGTACTGGAGACCAGGAGTTTGTATCCAATTTAATTTTAAAAAAGATTTCTAGAGAGAGGGGAAGGGAGGGAGAAGGAGAGGAGGAGAAACAGGGACGTGCACCAGTTGCCTCTCACGCGCCCCCTAGCGGGGACCTGGCCTGCGACCCGGGCGGGTGCCCTGACTGGGAATCGAACCAGCGACCCTTTGGAAACTGAGCCACACCAGCCAGGACTCGTTTGTTTTGTTAAGTGATTCATTTCTTCTTATTCATATTCTCTATCTTAAGTGGCGTTATCCTCATAGCCTCCTTTCTCGTGTGAGCACGTCTCTAACGGCTGGTTCGAATTCTTTTCCTGCGAAAGCCGACAGGCAATCGGGCTCCCACGCAGACTCCGTGGCTGGCTCTCTTCTGCGGGAGGGTCCTGCGTGTAGGTTTCTCCGCGCCTCCTAAGTTTCTGGTGGAAACCACACATTGTAGATGGTATGTGTCGTCACTGTGGGCGCCAGTCTCTCCCTCTCGGGGCTTGCGGTCGCTGTTTGCGAATGTGTTCAGCGACCACGGGGTCATTTTGTCAGCGCGGGGGCGGGGGCGCGGGTGTGCGGACGGCCTCCGGCTGCTCACCCGCTGGCTGCGCGGATCGCTGCGCGCCCCCGCGGCCCCCTGGCGCAGCGGCCGCTCTGCCTGCGGACTCCCTGAGGTCCTGGCTCCTGCGAAGGAGTCGCTTCTGATGTCAGGGCCGACAGCTCTTCCGACCCCCGGCGGGGTCGCGTCCGTGAGACTCCTCCTCCCGATGGCCTTGCCCGCAGCCTCCGCTGGTCACGGGCCTCCTGCTCTGTTGCGAATGCAGACGGTTCCCTTGGGGAGAGATGGGGAGCCACCTGCTTGGCGGGCAGCCGGACCTCTCTGCCAGGACCTCTGCCCAGTGCTCTGCGGCTGCAGGGGGGCCCGTGGCAAGCTTCTCCGCGAGCGGCCCGGCAGTGGGAGCCCGCAGGGGAGGAGGGCAGCCTGGAGTCCTCCCAGCCCACCTTTGCTGGCGTGGAGAGCCACCAAGCCATGAGCCGAAGCCTGGACAGCCAGACCTGCCCTCGGGAGGCAGAGCCTCTGTTCTGTGAGCAGGGTCCCCTCGGGACCGCAGCCACCTGGGCCCGGGCCCCGGCCCCGGCCTCGGTCTCGGCCTCGGCCTCAGGAGCAGAGCTGGGAACTGGGAGAGGCAGCCGGCTGCAGCCACCCCCTCCCGCGGCGGGCTCTGCGCCGGCTCTCAGCGCTCCCTGGGAGCCGGCAGCGCTGGCGGGGGGCTGACTGGTTCCAGGCGTCCGACCTCCGTGCCCACAGGGGCTCACCGCTCAGGGCACAGCCGGACCCCGGGCCCTTCCCCGCACCACACGGGGGGCTTCGTCTTCCGGTTTGCCTCCCGGGCTCTCTGGGACTCCGACCTCGTCCAGGACGCCGCGGGCGCTTGGTGTCGTCTGGTGGTTGCCGCTCCCCGTGAGTGTCCCAGCTATTTCCAGAGTGGGTGACTTGTACGGGGAGACCGACGCTTGTCACAGCTGGCTATTTCGTTCGTCCGTTCTAAGGCGTCCTGTCCCGAGGGAAGCCGGTGGGGACGGGTCCCAGTGGTGAAACCCTCGCCCGCCTTCTCGTCCACCTGTGCTGCTCGGGGCGCCCCACACGCCGGCGGTCCCGTGTGTCCCGGATGCGCCAGCCCGAGGGGACGGGGCGGGCAGGTGCTCTGGAGTCCCCGGCACCCCCGTCACCCTGGCGGGCAGCCCCTTCTGCAGAGGCGCACCCAGCACCCAGCGGCCCCCGCCGCTGGGCCCCGTCGCTGCCCCAGGCACAGCCGCGTCGCGCCGCCCCGTGGCGTGGCCCCTGCACAGCCCCTGCCCGGGCGGGCAGGACCCACAGAGCCCGGGGCCAGAGCCCGGGGAAGCGCGTCCCGTTGGGGCCTTGGGTTTTCGCTGGACTCACTTGCCCGTTAGTCATTTCCGTTTGTTCATTTAGTGTTTCACATATTTGCCTCGGTCTCCCTCAGGACAGCGGAGCGTATCGTTACGTCACACCACGTTGCTGACTAGCCATGTGTTTCTCAGGCTCCCCTGGAAACCCCTCGGAGGAGGAAGTGAAAAATGAGTCAGGCTGCAACCCCCCCCCCCCAACAGAGCCCATTCCAAACGTCCAGTTTCAAGGTCAAATTGTTGGCTGGCCAAGCGGACAGAGGGGAAATGCCCGTGACCGACCGTGCTCGAAGGAGCCCGGGCCTCAGGTGAAGGCTGTGTGTGTGTGTGTGTGAGAGAGAGAGAGAGAGAGAGAGAAGAGAAAGGGGTCATCTCACAGACCGCCTCTCCCTACTCCAGACCTTGTGGTGGTGGGCCTCCAGGTGAAGACTCCCAATGCCCCAAAGCAACGGGACCCATGTCTCACAGGTGAAGGGGAAGCATGAGAACAGCGCTGACTAAACACAGACCACCAAGAAAGAGAGGGAAACGTTTCAGAGGAGCCAGGTAAACATCCTGAAGCTGAAAAGCACGACACACGACACGAGAAATTCCCGGGGCGAGAGCGTGCTTGCCCGCCCAGAGAAGCAAGGGATGAGTCCGAGGACAGGCCACGGGGGGTGTCCAGCCTGCAGAGCGGACGGACAGACGGACCATCAGGAGAAGGGAATCGGCCCTCGAGACGTGTGTCACGGGGGCGGCCAGAGCAGAGGAGAGGGCGCGCAGAGCGCCCATGTGGAGAGAGAGTGTCTGACCCCCCCCCCCAGATGTGAGGGAAGTCCACACTAAC